ACCAAGGTCAATGCATGCTGGCCGTCACGTGAGAGTGACGTAACCATGTGCACAGTGCAGAAGCGATAAAGATAGCAATTATACGAACAATTAAAAACCAGATTACTAGAGTGCACTTTTAAACAGAAAAGTGATAGGAGTTAAGTACAACAGTAACACTCCTAGTCAGAGCATAAAGTCTAGGTGTAGTCCAGTAGGACAAGTACTAGTTATATAGTACCAAGAATGTCCTACTATTATATGGATAAGTCAGAACTGCCGACATCCTCTGGCCACCAACAACAATCTTACTTAGAACTTGGAGGGGCACAAAACAGAAAACGTGAGTGAGCAAAAAGAAATGTTTTACAAAATCATTTCATTTATCAACTTATCTAACCCCTCGCTGTAAAACATGTATAATTTTCCCATAATCAAGATGTAAGCATACACACACACATACACACACACACACACACACACACACACACACACACACACATATATATATATATATATATATATATATCTGAAATCATAACCATTCAATTCATGCTTCACATAATCATTTTCATATGTATGCCATGCCAAAATATAACAAGTAACAATTCAGGTAATAATGATTTCATAGAAGTATGACATGTTAGCCGGAACTCCTGAGCAGTCTGTACGGCTGAATTCATAGTTCAATTTCCATCTAGCGGGAGTCACTACTATGACCTATACGGTAATATACTGCACATAAGTCGGAACCACTGAAAAGGGTATGTACGACAAGGTTGGGTGTAATATAATTATGCTCAATTCTACTCTCTCAATACTAGCTGTGCGATAATAAGTTAGTCACCTACGAGTTAGAACCACCTATAGTGGTCTGTACGATAAGACTGTGCACCTAATTGGATCCAATGTGAGCATATAGTGCGGGAGGTGACATAATTTACAGGCATGTGCCAACTCTCTCTGGCTAAATCGCAATCACTCGAGATGCAGGTTTATGAGCTCATCGTTTCTCAGTCACATCTCATATATCCAACCAAACATGTTCATCACACTACTCAATTCTTCAAATAAACTTATATCTCATTTATTTCATGTCATAAATTGTATGGTTGCACCTAACATTTCGTTAGGCTGCCTACGTACCATAAATAGGGATCAAGTCATTCGTAGTTCACATAATCAAACATAACTTACCTGAACTCACCTGTGCCTCCACAACACCACAATTATATATATATGCAACCATGAAATGCATATTCAGAAAATAAAGGCATTTGGCATATTATTTCAAAGCATACTTTCATTTAAAACACATTTCTGGGAAATATATCAAGTATATAATTATATATTGTAAATAAAAGCCCACTCACTGGTATGTCGACGGGTCGGAGCCCCCGAGTCGCCCGTGGATACGCTCGTCCTTGGGATAAGTCTCACCTATATGTGAATTAACTATAAAAATGTTATTTTAAAGCACATAGGCAAAACTAGCTAATAACTTCTCATATATTGCTCAATTTGGGGATTTGAATATACCACAATGATCTACTCAACGTCGCGGACGTCGAGATATTTTTAAAATAATTTTCCTAGGGCCCACGCGCCCTCACACGCCGAGGAGGCCACAGTGCCATGCGCCCCCACGCGCATCATCTTCTTTGTCCAGACGCCGGAAAAACTAGCCGGCGCCGAAAAACTAGGCAACACTGTAATCGACGATTTCTCACTCGTTTCTTCACCATTTTCCATGAAATTTTCACCAGAACTTCACAATTTTCGAGAGGAAGAAGGCTATACCTTTTAAAACTTCCAAATCTTTCAAAAACGCGTTGGGACAATTTCACCAAAACCGGCCAGTTTCGAATTGAGGTTTCCCGACGTCCACACAAGTCAAACGGACCTCTCCGAGCTTCGTGGGAATCTTCTTAAGCTCACTGTGAGCTTGGATTGTTCTAAAACACAACCATTCAAAAGTTCATGAATAGTGCTCAACTCGGAGCTTGAGTTTTCAACGTAAAATTGAACGAGTTCTTACATGAAATGGGTACCCTTGAACTCGTATGACCCTCACGAACACCATGGTGCCATTTTCTTCTTCGATCCATGATGATTTGGCTTGGTTTGATCTTGTCCATACGGAGGAGAGGGAAAAGAGAGTGAGTCCGAGAGAGAGAGAGAGAGAGAGAGAGAGAGAGAGAGTGTGCACGGGAGTGAGAGAGAGAATGAAGGCGATGTGGATGTGTGTGTGTGGTCCAACCTACACACCAATCACAACTAACCAAAATTAAGTTCTCATTGGCCCCAAAAACTTAGGAAAATAACCATATTGGTCCATTTCTAAAATTGTCACATACGACTCACAATGCCACAAACGCTCAAGGGCACTTTAGTCTTTTCACATCCGCAATAACAAAATAATGTACATTTCCGAGACGGGTTGTGACATTATATTTATGGCTAAATTTTTTATCATATATTTTTATTTTTAGTTTGTACCTATTTTTAATTTGTACCAATTTTTTTTTCATTTTTAATTTGTACCCATATATTAGTTTCTTTTTGTGCCCATATTTTTTAAAGTTTTATATGTGTTTGTATCCATGTGTATACCATCACGTGACATTGTATATTTAATCAATGATAGAAAAATTACATATGGTATATTTATGTTTTATGCCTAAACTTTGTATCATATATTTATATTTTTAGTTTGTACCCACTTTTAATTTGCAACATTTTTTTTTAATTTGTAGTATTTTCTTTTTAGTTTTATTTTGTACTCATGTATTAATTCTTTTAGCGCCAATATTTTTAAAAAATTCATTTGTACTCATAATTTTTTAATCTTTTATATGTACCCTAATTTATTTATAATGTACCCATTCTTCTTTATTAATGTCCACTTTGTTATATGTGAAATTTACCAATTTTTTTTGTAAAATGTACCAATTTTTTTAACACTATGGATACATTCTTTTGCCATTTATTATTTCTTATTTTTACATATTTTTTATCCATTTAATCAAAATGTTTGAATTTTTTTATTCTAACCGTTTCTAATAGTATTATAATGAGGGATTTTAAATTTATAGGATTATAAATCTCATAAAATATCAAACAATTAATGTCAAAACTATAAAAATATAAATATTAATTGTAATATAATGAGGTGTACAAAGTCAGAGACTTTGATCAAACTTTGAATACTATTACGATTTTAGTAAAAGAATGTTAAGGATTAGAGACCGCATCCAAAGTATCATTTTTATAAATGATTGAAATTGGGAATGAATCTTGGCTTACTCACTTATATTAAAATTGGGAGACAATATTAGTTTCATCTAAGCATTCTAGTAGGAGAATTGTAGGGATTGTTTGTCTATAAAGATGGAAGAACCATACCTCTTGAAATTCGACTTTGTTTTTCACAAAGTTATTCACCCGAATGATGGCCTTCAATATTCATCTTAAAAACCAGGAACAACACCCTTTGAAGATTTTCGGTTGCATCTAAACATTGGATGGACAGATTGCCTACGTATTCCATTTCTATGATGATCAAACTGTTCTAGTTCCCCTTAGAACTAAAGTGAGAAACTAGAACACTCTTGCTCAAGAGGAGGGGGAAGGGGTGGCAGGTTTTGATGGTGGTGGAGGCGGTATGTTTTTCGTCTAGCTTTCTCTTTTGTTTAGCCTTAAGAGAAAGCTCTCTTGGAACTCTAACCCACCCGTTCATCTTACAAGGACGAGTACTTTTCTCTACTTACTTTCTCTAAATTAGAGAGAATGCATGTGAGGTTGAGCGCTTCCATGTTTTCATGTTACGATGACTAAGAAGACTTGTACACTTATTGAACAAGTACTCATCATCCTGCAAAAAGTGATTTTACTCATCCTAAGTTTAGAATGAAAAATTTCCCTTGATTATTCTAACACAAAATGATCATTTTAATCATTCACATTTCACATCACAAGTACTCATCATCCTTCTAAGCTTTTGGGTCCGAATAAAATTTCCCTTAAATATTCTAACACAAAATGATCACTTTAATCTTAAAATAGGGTGTGCAAATTAAGGATAGCCAATGAGAATATAATGACTTTTTTGCCAAAGAAAAAGAGTAGGACCGCTTTGCTCTGTATTTGAATGGACTTTCATGATAATTTCGTTTTTGACTATATTTTTTTAACAAGGGTAATCCCGTAATGCTAGGTTGGTTAAATTTGTGGACAAAATTTGTAAAATTAAATATTGTGTCACCAATAAGATATAAACATGTTAATCTAGTTGACAAAATTTAGTCTATGAATTTACAATCTCTTCAGATGTGGAAATTTAAGATTACTAAGAAATTTTAAAATGACGGAAATTGAAATGACGAAATTTTGTTGTCTAAAATTTGTTAGTTTTCTAGTTTGGTTAACCTAAAAGAACAATGAAATTTGAATACCTACTTTGTTATTTTTAAACTCTCACTTCTAGATTTGGAACTCTCACTTCTAGAAATTTGGAAATGACACCTGATACATAGAATTTAAACTTGGGAATTTGAGGTCTCTAATTCTATGTTTTTTTTCCACGCAGAATTCTAAATTTCTATGCTTATGAATCAAAACAAGAAATCAGTGTTTGTGAATTTATAAATTCTAACATTTTTTCCCCCACAGTGATCGACTTAAAAATAAAATCTCACCACAGATTTGCTTTTAGCGAGAATAGAATCTAAAACCTCTCACAATGGGTTTCGTGGACATTTTGATTCAAGAATTCAACTGTCCAAAGGGATGTGATATCCACACACCCCTTTTTACTTCTTGCACACCCTTTTAATTTTCGGCCTTCAGATCGGATGAATTAAAGAAGATCAAAGGATAAAAATTAACAAGGAGTGTGAGAGAAGTAAAAATGGGGAGTAAAAATGGGTGTGTGGATAGCACACCCCCTGTCCAAATACCTGTATAACTGAGATCATCCAGAACGTCCATCAAAACCAGTATTGACCGTCCGCGCCTCTCCCAAATTCAAATTCACTTTCACCCTAACATCCCCCCGCCCCCCAAAAAAACAAAAATTCAAATCGACTTCTCCAATCTGGTCATCTCCCCTCTGCTCCCACACCAACACCTCCATCTCCACTCCCTGATCCGAACCACTCACTTTGCTCCGACCCGAAATGCCGTTCTTATCGGACACCGCCAGCGCCATCAAGACCCGCTTCGGGTTCCACGACCACTCTTCAGACCCGGTCCGGAGCACTCCCAATCTCCACAAATCCGCGTCCAAAGAGAGTTTCTCGGCGCTACGGAGCATCGGAGACTGGGACGACGATGATGACGACGGAAAAGCCAGTACCGCTACGACTTCCTCAAACCAAAGCTTCGAGTTTCATGAAGACCCTTCCTTTTGGAAGGACCACAACGTGCAGGTACCTTATACAAAGAAACATTAGTTCTGTGGATTTTTTTTCGAAATTAATTTTATTTCTTCCAAATGCAGGTTAATTTGTGCTTATAATCTCATATGCTTCTCCGATTCGTATTAATTTTGATGTAGTTTTGAGGTTCCTAAATCTCGAAATCATATTTTTAGCCTTTTGTTTTAGAATTGAAGCGCTTAGAGTAAATTTGTTTTGGTTAGGTTATTATTCGGGTTCGTCCGCTTAGCAGCGCTGAAATATCAGTGCAAGGTTATGGCAAATGCGTTCGACAAGAGAGCTGTCAGACAATTACTTGGACTGGCCATCCAGAGTCACGGTTTACTTTTGACATTGTTGCAGATGAGAATGTTAGCCAGGTTAGTTATATCATTTGGCAGTGCTTCTTCATTTTTGCGGCTTTTTGTTTTCATTGGGCGTGTGCTTCATTGAGGTTTGTCATATGCAGGAGCAATTGTTCAAAGTGGCCGGATTGCCGATGGTGGACAACTGCATGATAGGCTATAATAGCTGCATGTTTGCTTATGGCCAAGTGAGGGTTCAACACTTTTTGTTTCCTAAAAGTTATTCTTGTTTATGTGCGTATGTTCTCGGTGATTAGTTTGTCTTTGAAAGTATATTTGGAGGTTGGAGGATGTGTTTTCATATGACTTTAACTGTGTCTATGCAGACTGGAAGTGGGAAGACCCACACAATGCTTGGAGATATTGAGGGAGGCACTCGAAGGCACAGTGCCAATTGCGGGATGACACCTAGAGTGTTTGAATACTTGTTCTCGAGAATTCAAAAGGTGTGTGACTTGTAGAACTAGTGGTACAATTTTGATGCTGTAACATTTTTATGGGGCAATTTTTCAGTATCGGTCCCCGCTGTAGCGTTCAAGTCAAACTAGTCTAAGTTTCAAGTAATCAAGTTAACAAATCCACCTAACTCAAAAAACAGTCATCTTTAATCTAGCACGAGTATAAGGTTGGCTACATGACTCACTTTCCACCATTTAGTACTATTCAAAGCTGAAAGTTAGATGGGAGTTCGATTCTTATCTATGTTTAATATTCATTACAAGATACTAATGCATCTTTCTTTGTTTATTGTGGTGTACCAGGAAAAAGAGGCTGGCCGAGATGAGAAATTAAAGTTTATATGTAAATGTTCTTTTTTGGAAATATACAATGAACAAATTTTGGACCTTTTGGACCCTTCATCTAACAACTTGCAGGTAAAGATAACATACAACAGAGAGTTTTCTGTTTCTACGGTATCAATAAAAATATAATATATGACTTCGTTGTGAATATCATGAGCATATTGCAGATCAGAGAAGACATAAAGAAAGGAGTTTATGTGGAAAATCTCAAAGAGGTTGAAGTGACAAGTGCTCGAGATGTTATCCAACAACTTATTCAAGTATATAAGACCTCTTCTCAATGTTCTTATATCATTTAAGCTTTAAACATTTGAATTAGTAATTTGTATAATAGTGCTTTCCTGTCATTCTGTGAATCCTTAATGTTGTATTTTGATTGATAGAAAAGTTTGTCTTTATCTCATGCTGAATTTGTGGGCACTTACTTTTCTGCAGTGAATTTGCATTATTTACCAAACTTCATTTTGTTACAGGGTGCAGCTAACAGAAAGGTAGCTGCTACTAATATGAATCATGCTAGCAGTCGGTCTCATAGTGTATTTACATGCATCATTGAGAGTAAAGTGAGTGAATTCTCTGTTTTCTATTTACATTTCCTTACAAAAGTTTAATAATCTTGTCTTACTCTTCTTCTTTCTTTTCCAAGTGTGTGTTGGTTTGAGATTTTAATTGATCTTTTGTTATCAGAGGGAATGCCAAGGAGTAGCTCACCATCGTTTTGCTCGGCTTAATCTTGTTGACTTAGCAGGATCTGAAAGGTTAATGTGAATCTTCAATTTTATTTACAAGGAAAGGGGTTGGTGGTAAATAGAAGGATGTTATTGAGTGTTCAACCTGCCCCTATATGTAGTAATAAAAGGGAAAGGAAGATATATGTTAAAATGTATGCTGTAAGAAGCTAGTTTCTATTCAGTTCTTTGCTCTTTTTGATAAAGTGTGAATCTCTAGGGAAGTATGACTCACCGTATCTATGCATTGCTCCCAGTATCCATACCAGAAATACTTCATCATTCATTCAGTGCCCGCAGCGAATAAAAGTGTCCAGTTTATTGATATGTCTATGTGTTCATGGCAGGCAAAAGAGCTCTGGAGCTGAAGGTGAGCGTCTAAAGGAAGCAACAAATATTAACAAGTCTCTTTCAACGTTGGGGTATGTTTTCTCTAATCTTTAGCCTTTTGTAGTTAAAAAAAATCCTAAAAATTTGGTTATCGTTGATGCCAAGTGCTAAATAAATTAAAAATTCATTTTGTTGAAATGAATTTTATATTTTCAGACTTGTGATTATGAATCTGGTGAACATGTCAAATGGGAAGTCACTCCATGTTCCATACAGGGATTCAAAGCTTACATTTTTGCTTCAGGTAACTTGAAATATTATTTAAAATGCTATCAATTTCAGTTAGTTCTGATTTGTGTATATATGTGGTTAGTATTATAGAATAGTATAGTGAAGAATTATACGTTTGATAACATCGTGTATTTGTAGGCTACAAATTTGGGTGTTGTAAGCCTAGTTGTTTGAAATTCTGAATTTCTTGTATAATCCGGATTGTGTGTAGCATAAAAAACTCCATATTGTTTCCTTTTCAGGATTCTTTAGGAGGGAATTCAAAGACAACTATAATAGCAAATATTAGCCCTTCTAGCTGGTTAGTAAATCTCTTTTTCTTACACTTGTTGTACTCTAATTTTACTTTCCGTTTATACCATATAATCATAAGCCTTGTTATGTATCTATGCTAACTATGTTTTGCAGTTCCTAGAGGTCATTGGTTGCGAAGCCCTGTTTTATGTTCTAATTTTGATCTTGTAGAGTTCTTGTTGTTGTACATTACATTTTCAAGTTTATTTACGACATAATCAATTACGTTTAGTGTCTTATGTGGGTTTTTTCAGCTGTTCGTTGGAGACACTGAGCACTTTGAAGTTTGCACAGCGCGCTAAATTCATTAAGAACAATGTATAATAGTTTTTTTCTTTTCTTTTCTGCATGTACATTCTTATGTATTGGTTTTGCTGCTTTGAACATTTTGTTAAATAATTAGATGAGCAGAACATAAAATACATGACTTATTATTTGCATTCTTCTGGTATTTGAACATTGAGCTTTTTGGTACTACTTTATTTCTCCTAGTGGGAAAAAAGGTTTATGTCAGTTATTGTTCTATGTTTACTCAGGCAATTGTGAATGAGGACGCATCTGGAGATGTCATTGCCATGAGGGTGCAAATTCAACAACTCAAGGTATAATGTTTGATCTTCTCTGTGTTTGGGGACTACCACATAGCCAATATTTTTGTCATAGATTATGTTTGCCCTTCTTGCTTGGATATCTTTCGTGAAAGATTATATTGGGGATTGTAGCTTTACTGGTTTATTCATTATAAAATGCATGGCTTCACAAACACCTTAATAGGAGCCATCATAAAACTACTGATAAACATGGTATAATTACTATGTTAAGATAACTTTACACTGAATGTTGATTTTGAATAAGGTAATGGAACACTAAGGATACCGCTAAAAGGCTATCTTGCAGCTTGTTTAATAGAATCACTTCCTAGCAGTGTTCTAAAAGTCCCTGCCTAGGCGCTAGGTGGCTGGCCACTGCCTCGATTAATGCCTAGGCGTTTAAAAATAACAAAGGGTGCCTAAACATGTTTAGCCGCCCACATAGGCAAGCCTAGGTGGGTCTAGGTAGGCTGGCGGTTTTTGACTTTTTTTCTTTAGAAAATGGTTTAAGGTTACATTTTATGTTTTTAATAAATTGTAACAGACTTGTTGGATACTTGGATGAACACATTATATGCTTGTTCCCTATGTTCTCAATATGTCTAGTACTTTATAATTTATACATCATTCTATGTTGCAATTTATGTTTCCCAATACAATTATGTATTATAAGTAGACACTTATTTGTGTCATATAATAAATTTAATTCAGATAATAAAAACCGCCTAGGCCCCTTCCCGCCGCCCGAGTAACGCCCAGTGCCTTTGGGAACATTTCTTTCTAGATTCAAACTAGACAAACTTTACTCAGTTAGCACTTCCTTTCTTAACAACAAGTATACCTTCATTTATTCTCAGAAAGAAGTATCCCACTTGCGAGGACTGGTCAATGGAGGAACTGGAAATCAGGACAATGATATGTTAGCTGTGAGCTTTCCAGGATCTCCAGGATCTTTTAAGTGGGAAGGACCTAATGGATCATTTAGTCCATTCACTTCTAGAAAGAGGACATCTCAGGTTTGTGCGTTTCTTTATGACTTGTATAGTTAAAAATTTGAAAGTGTCTTTTAAAATTTCTTAATAAAAAATTCATTGGATTTTCAGAAAAAAGACTATGAAGTTGCCCTTGTTGGGGCTTTCAGGAGGGAAAAGGACAAAGATATTGCATTGCAGACGTTGGCTGCGGAAAGCCAGGCAGCTTTGCAGCTGGTATGCTGAAAATATAGTCCCTTGTTATATTTTAGAGTTCTTTATGTATTGAAGTTTCAGATTCCTTGGTTATTTCACAAAAAGATTTTTTGATTTGTCATGATGTCTAATTTCATATCATAAACTGATTTTGGATATGGCTTGTACAGTCAAGCCATTATGTTTTAGTTTTGTATAGTTTTGGCCAATATATCAATTTAACTTTCTTCAGTTATTAAAGATTCAAATTTTATTACTGAACTAAATACTGGTGGTGAACCAGGCCAAACAAAGAGAGGATGAAATACAAGGACTGAAGATGAGGCTACGGTTTCGAGAAGCTGGAATAAAAAGGTTGGAAGCGGTTGCCTGTGGAAAGATCTCAGCTGAGACACACTTGCTAAAAGAAAAGGAGGAGTATTTGAAAGAAATTGAGGTCCTACGAGCCCAAGTTGATCGTAACCAAGAAGTGACCAGGTTCGCAATGGAAAATTTGCGGCTGAAGGAGGAAATCAGAAGGTATCTCTTTGTTCTTATTAAGCCATGCGAGCCATCTTTTATCATAAGATACAGTTCTTCCAGCTAGTCTCCTACGGTTGTGGAACCAATCATGATACACTAGTTTTCAGGGTCTTAAATTGATGTAAAATCATCTTGATTCTATCTAAAGAGCCTAAAAATGTATCAGTTTCAGAAACCCTCGTTCACTTACATCATCCATTTTTACATTTAAATGCTATATTAATTACTTTGTTGATTTTTGTTCTATTAGTCTTATATGTTGAATAATTTCTCTAAAATTTACCGGTGCCATTTTTTTATTGCTTATTTACATTTTTATTGCTTATTTACATTTTTATAGGTTGAAGTCATTTTACGAGGAAGGTGAACGAGATATAATGAATGAACAGATCATGGTGTTACAAAACAAGGTAAAGAAATCGCAGAGTGTGCAATTGTTTGGCTTTAATAATTTATCCTTTGTCTTTTCCACCGATATGAACATTCTTCTTGCATACATGCAGTTATTAGAAGCTCTCGACTGGAAACTCATGCATGAGTCAGAGCCCTCGACAGTTCAGGTATTCCATGCAGTTTTTTGTTAAAGTTTGAAGGTTGACAAAGGAATTTATCTTGACATATTTTCAAATCATTTATACTGTAGGATAGAAATCAAGATGTGGTGATGGAAGGTCAAAATGATGATAATATGCTGATTTCCAATCAGGTGAGCTGCAACCTATTTCCTACTTTTCCAATGAAGCTTAATCTCTTATTGCTTTTAAATGGTTAGTTTCCGAGTTGTATTTTTTATGTTCCAAATGTGTGATACCTTAATGTGAGAGTTGTTTGTCTCAATAACTTGTTGAACTGGAAAGTAACATCAGCGACACGGTGAGCAATGTCTGACATCAAATTAATTTTTTACTATGACCTAATTTTAACATTTAATCATCTTGCATCTGCATCATGTTGTTCGAAGAGCATTGAACTAAATTAACTTTCAATTAAGATTTAAGTTCCTGAAGAAATGGTCATGTTTGCATCAAAAATTCAACGAAATACTATATATTTTCTTTTTAAATTTTGAATTTTTGGATTCGGGGTGCTTGAGTGATTGAGTGTCACGCTAAAAGAGGTTGGATTGGAATTCAAGTTGCGCCATATTGTACCATCTCTGCTTTTATTTTCGTGTTCGTTGCTTTTTCTCTTATTTGATGTTTCTTATTCTTTTACATCTATGTGAACAGGAACAAGCATCACCTTGGCAGTCTTCAATTAAGGAGGAGAATGAATTTCTCCGTATGCAGGTAAAACATGTAAAAAACGTTTTGAGCTTTATTTCTGATAGAAGTGGTTTCATATTTGATGATAAATTGTTCATGGCAGGCCATTCACAACCAGTCAGAAATGGACACACTCCAAAAGAAACTAGACCTCTGCCTTGAAGAGAAGGAGACTTTGGAAAGGTAATAGTTTAGTAGTTTTCTACTGCGAGTTTTTACTTTTTTGTGAAATATTCTGCAAATCCTTGGGTGTCAATTTTTTAGTGTAATGAGATTAGGTTTCCACTCTATAACAAGTGGCTTAACATTGCAGGAATATCAATGATTTGATGACAAAACTTGAAGAAGAGAGATCGGCAAGAGCAATGAAAGAAAAGACACATCAAGTTGAGCTTCCTTCATCCTCAGCTGATGTGCCGATTATGAACTTCAGTGATCAATTGGAACTGAAGACAATGGTCGATGCCATTGGTGCTGCAAGTCAAAGAGAAGCTGAAGCTCATGAGACTGCAATAATCCTGTCCAAAGAAAATGATGAACTGCGTATGAAGCTTAAGGTTTTGATTGAAGATAACAATAAACTCATTGAATTATATGAAGGGGCGACTTCAGAGACTAGTTACAGAAATATTAACAAATCTGAGTGTGCTCATGATGGCACCAAACGCCACAGTAATGGTGGTGGTTTTGTAGAACTTGCCAAAGAAAAGGAGGCTGAGATGAATAAAGTGGTTGAGAATTTGGAGCATCAACTTGCGGATTTGCATGAAGAAAACGAGAAACTAATGGGTTTGTATGAAAGAGCCATGCAAGAGAGGGATGAACTCAAAAGGGTGCTTGCATCTGGTGGACAGGAAAAAGTTACAGCTAAGGATGTGCTTGCTTCTGATGGAGGTGCATCTCCTATGTCTCTGGAGGGAAAGAATTTTATTGGCGATGATGGTCTTTCTGGTTCTGATGGAGGACCAGTCCCAGTGGAGGAATCTGGTTTATGTGGAGCGAATGTGCAAACTGGGTTCAGCCATATATCTGATGAAGTGAAAGCAGATATTGAAGAAAGTGGTGGCTCAAAATCTGTGCTTGATATGGCCGGTCTATGTACCGTTAACACTAAAGGGGATTCAGGAAATGAGTCTGATGTTGGAATTGCGTCTGACATGGAACTGGACACGTCAGATCTCACCACAGTAAAGCTTTCAGAAGATCTCAATTTGGCCAGAATGAATCTGGAAAGAGCAGATGAGCAACTTCTAGATTCTGCAAAAACAGTTGCCGTATTTGGTTGCATGGAGAAATTAATCTTAGAGGTTGGCAAACTCTCAAGAGAAATTGAAGCAACGGAAGATGAAATTCAAGTCAAGCAGCAGCTTTTTGAATCCTATGAACTCCTCTCTGAAAAACTGAAAGAAAACAGCACTCTAATTGACAAAAAGTTGTCAGCTCTCAAGTACTCCCTATCTTGCTTTTCTTCCTCAGTTGTTTACTTTGAGCAGCGAGAGGCTCGGGCAAGAGCAAGGGTAGCAGCTTCGACATCTTATCTGGACCAAAAGAATGGGGAATTGGTCTTCCTACAAACACAAAAGGATGAAATAGCTGCTGAGCAGACGAAAATGCAACAATCTGAGGTCGAACTAAAGAAAAGTCTTGCATGCCTCAAGTCAAAGCTGGATGATGAAAATAAAAAACAAGAGAATGAACAGGTTCTCTTTGCGATAGATAATGTTGAGAAGACAGACCCCTCACAGAAAAATTGGCATTTGGGAGGTAAAGCTACTGAGTTACTGAAGTCCGCGGAAGAGAAAACTAAACTACAGACAGAGATGAAACTATGTCGAGAAAATATTGGAGTCACGAGAAGGGAACTTGAGGATCTGAACAGGAAGTTTGGGAAGGTAGACAGTGAGCTGGTAGCTGTACAAGTGGAGATGCAGAAAGCTGTGAAGTCAGTGGGAGAGATGGAACTTGCACTCGAGAATGCAATGAAGGAGAAAGAAATGCTGTTGGAAGTAAGTGATAACGGAAATACTGAAATTGAAAGCCTGGTTATTGAGTACCAGCAGCATTTGTTTGAATCGGAATTGAAGGAGGCAGAGTCAAAGATTTTAGAGGAAGACTTGCAGACTGAATTACGAAAGTTGGAAAAGCTGCGCAAAAAAAGGGTTTTAACGGCTGAGAAGACAATGCTGTTGTTGGACACGAGGTTTCATCCATGCTTGTTATCAGAAAAGATGGAGGAAGAGCTTCAGAGTGTTAGGAAATATGTTGTAGAGGCAAAGTCATTGCTGCTAGGTGAGGCCAATTCAACTGTCAGTTGAAACCCGATCGAAAACTACGGTATTTCAACAAGAAGATGCTTTGATTGTTACACTTGTAATTAGGAATCACTCCTCTTTTCTGTTTTGTATGAGCCAACAATATTGTCTACTGCTTCATTTCAACTTTTGTTGTTTTTCTTGTTAAGTCAGTCCATCTTCCAAATTAGAGTGTTCAAACTTCAACAGCAGGAATGAAAAACATCTGTTTTATCAGTGATTTTGTCAATGAACCTGTAAAATACATCTTTAATTAGTCTCTCCCGTGCGTAAAATAAATCTTGTAAAAAACTCTCACAACCTTGAGAAAAATACTAATTCTCCTAACCCCTTTGTTAGCACATATTCAGTTCGTTGGAACATCATTGGGTTGGCAAACAGCAACATATTCAGATTGGGTGTGCATCACTAGACCATGGAACTAATCTGTTTGGGAGTACCTTTAGTTTAGTGAAACAACACTACTTCTAGTTGGGTCAATTATCTAAGTCTTAACCGACGAAAAGTCTTTGATTTTTTTTGCCAAAATGTCACTTTATTAGCTTCCCTAGGGAAGTGAGGTGTTCTATGATCGAGTTCGGCATTCAGACGGCTTAACAACATTCATGATAAAGACACTCATCTTTTTGAGTATCTTTGTTCTTACAGCCATACCAATTCGACGCACTTATATTCTCAAAAATATAGTTGAAGTTGCCGAACTTGGTGCAGAAGATCTTGAACCTTGTGGGGAATTTAGCAACCTTGTTTTCAGGTTATAGAACCCTAGGCCGAGATGCGTTCATTCCTCAGCTGTAGTCGCTAAGTGTAGAAGTCAGCAATGCATTCGACACCACCACCACATATATTCTACTCACCCGACCAATCTTGGTCGCGAGTTGGCATGCTCGCATTCACAAGAATGATGTAGTTAGCTCAATAGTTGCTTGGCATGCGCTCCACGTAAGTCTTGTAATTTTTAGGATCAACAAATCCACATCAAACATATACATATCACTACAGTGACATAGTGCAGTTTTGAGGGCGAACCACTTAAACTGTATTGTTTATCACTTAGCCTTTTATCTCAAGGCCCATTAAGAGTTGACCTTCCAAATTTTGAGCGTTAATATATTGCATAAGCACAATTATTTTGGTACACCAAGGGGCTGTTACTACAACGATGATTTGCTCATCATTTCTAATGACACAAATTATCATCTTCCGAAACCATTTCTTGCACGGTCGAAGACATCGTTTTGGAAATTCGTCTATGGATAGCCACATAAGTTGTTGGGGTGCCTTTGTTTTGATAAGGGTGGTGCTATCTGCAAAATTATTTTTACCTCTCACACACTCCTTTCAATTTCCGACCGTTGGATCGTGTGAATTGAAGAAAATTAATGGACAAAAATTAACGAAGGTGTGTGGAAAGTAAAACAGAATGTGTGAATAACATGACTCTTTCAATAATTCATAGAGGTATCAGACTAACAAACATACTGTTCAACAAAAGTCTCACGACAAAAGTGCGCATGGTCCTAGAGCGGAGCTAACCTGTATGGTAGAGGAAATGAAAATTTGGCAATGTTTTTTTATGGGTCGAGTCGAACTGGGGCCAACATGTTATACATTCTTAATCACGTGTTTTGTTTATAAAATAAGGAAAACTAATGAAAAGGGCTTGAAAACTTTGAATCTTAACCAAAAACTATGTAACAACTTTATTTAATGGTTAGGACAAAGCCCAACACTAAACTAGTCCTATTAAGATGGCCCAAACAATTAATTTTCAATTTTACCCCTAATGGCAAGTCTCTTGTCCGTTTGATATCTCTTCCGGATCTCTCTCTGCTGTCTCCCTCTCTCCATGACACAACGACGACGATCTTCGCCACCACTGCTACCTCAAACCAGCCCTGGCCCGAAATCCCAACCGACGAAAAGCTTGGCTCCACTGACCTCAATTCAATCTTCCAATCTTTGGTGTCTTGCTATTTCATTTGAGCCGTGCCACTCATTTTCATCTGAATCTGAGAGAGAAAGAGAAGTGAAGGGAAAGGAAGAAGAACCACGTCTAAATCCTCATCTTCCGTGCTCCGTTGCCCCAACCGTCAGCACATTTGTCATCACACTCGCTCTCAAACATCATTAGGTACTACTCTCACTCATCTCCTCGCTGTCTCAGTCCATTGACGTCAAGGAGAACTGTATCAGCGTCTACAACAACGTTGCTAGAGTTCCTATCGAGATTCAGTAGGAGGAGAGGGTCTACGTCCTAGAGTTGAACTTCGAGCACCTTCTGACTAGTAGCAATTACTATGACACGGTGAAGAAGACCATGGGTGGATGCAATGACTACGACGCCAAGCTTACGAACATTTTCTCCATCGAGTTCATCATCGAGAAGACGAACGTACAAACATGTATAAAATTGTGGATTCCCTAATTTATGTGATGTATGATTTGTGTTTAGGGTTTTAGTGTTTTGTGGAATTTACGAATTAGCATTTGGTCTTCTATTTTAGGGTTTGATGTGTATAAAATTGTGTATTTTAGGGTTTCAATGTTTGGTGGAATTGCAAAATTAGGATTTGATCTCATGTTTGTGATTGTTCGTTTGGTGTAATTTTGTTTTGTAACCTGTGATTTATTGAGGTTACTGTGACTAATTGTTCTATGGATTTGAAATGGATTTGCGAATTTCGATTGACTAAACATTGCAACATGATGTATACATGTACTCTACCTATATGGGTTTGAAATGGATTTCCAATCGATGAGAGTTGATGTATACATGTACTCTACCTATAAAATTCACATTCTTTCCCAAATGCTCTTCAGTTCACAACATTCACTAGCATGCTTGTGTAAGTTTAGTTTAGAATGGTTACTTGGATAATTTTTTCGAAAATTTCTATTGTGATATTTTTGTAATCTGTTGTTTAATGAAATCTACATTTTGTGTAAAGTCAAACTGATGAATGCTCAGAGTTGTAGGATAAATCTTAGAAGAACAACTTGAAACGGCTCAACAAACTGTTCTCTCAGTGATACATGCGATGATTTAGTAATCTAGTTCTAATTTTTCTAATGCATTAGCAATCAGCTCAAACGAATTGATTTATTTTCTAGCTTGCATAATCTAATGGTCAGGATAATTGTACAATATCAATGCATATAGATTTAGAGTGCTCAACAACCCAAGATGCAGCCTCACGCACTCCGAATTAGGTTCGTCGATACTCCCATCATATCATCTTAACCATTTAATTAATTACCTTAGACCTCTTGAACACAATCGTAAAGTTTACAAGCATATAAGGAGGATGCAAGAGACCAAAGCACAATCTTGAAATTTCACGGATTACCAAGATTTGCGCATTGCCGCATATTTTTGTAGATACCGAAGGCTTAGGCTTCCCATTATATTGATGCATTGAGTGTTTCCTACAAACATTCTCCATTTACAAATTCATAATAAAGAATAACATCATATATAGTTGGTTAATTATTTTGTTATTAAGTTTTGTTTTGTTGACTTTTGAACGAGGTTAGGAATGTATGCATTTTATTTATCCTCATAAAATAATACATTGTCTCCATGAAAGTTAATTTATCAACTGTGTCAGTAGATTAGAGGTGATACAACCCACTATGATGCAGTTGTGAATCCAGCAGCATCTGGAGTACTTTCAGCCGGATTGAAATTAGCTCAGTGCGAAAAAATGCCTTGGAAAGAATGTGAAGGTATAGTTGAATGGAACGAGGGTCCTTGTAAAGTCATTTCTTGATTATGTTGACCCTACTTACAATATGATCAATTATTATCATATGCTTGTTGATTAAGATCAAGATGCTTAATTATTATTATTATTCTATTATTTTCTTAAACGAACACTTACTATTTATCAACGAACACTAGTACTATCACTATTTCGTAAACTAAACACTGACTATTTCTTGTAAACTAAACACTGACTATTTCTTAAATGGAACACTAGTACTATCACTGTTTCGTAAACTAAACACTGACTATTTCTTAAACGGAAATCACTGTTTTGTAAACTAAACATTGACTATTTATCAAACGAACACAAGTACTATCACTGTTTCGTAAACTAAACACTGACTATTTATCAAACGAATACTAGTACTATCACTATTTCGTAAACTAAATACTTACTATTTCTTAAACGGAACACTAGCACTATCACTGTTTCGTAAACTAAACACTGATTATTTCTTAAACGGAACACTAGTACTATCACTGTTTCGTAAACTAAATATTGACTATTTATCAAACAAACACTAATACTATCACTGTTTCGTTAACACTGATTATTTCTCAAACTGAACACTAGTACTATCACTGTTTCGTAAACTAAACACTAACTATTTTTTAAACGGAACGCTAGTATTATCACTGTTGTACTATCACTGTTTTGTAAACTAAACACTGACTATGTTTCGTAAACTAAACACTGACTATGTTTCGTAAACTAAACACTGACTATTTCTTAGACGGAACACTAGTACTATCACTATTTCGTAAACTAAGTATTGACGTACTATCACTATTTCGTAAACTAAACACTGACTATTTCTTAGACGGAACACTAGTACTATCACTATTTCATAAACTAAGTATTGACGTACTATCACTGTTTCGTAAACTAAACACTGACTATTTATTAAACAGAACACTAGTACTATCACTCTTTCGTAAACTAAACACTGATTATTTCTCAAACAGAACACTAGTACTATCACTATTTCTTAACTGAACATTGACTACTTCTTAAAATGAACACTATTTCTTAAATTAAACACTGACTATATCTTAAACCGAACATTAGTACTATCACTATTTCTTAAACTGAATACAAGTACTGTCACTATTTCGAAAACTAAACACTGACTATTTATCAAACGAACACTAGTACTATCACCGTTTCGTAAACTAAACACTGACTATTTATCAAACGGAACACTATACACACACACACAGAGACACGAGTTCAATTTTATAATGAGATAGATCGAAGGCAATTGCATGAGACTTCCAAACATAATTCAGACCAAACATAATCATAAACTAGTTTCCAAAAAAAAAAAACATAATCATAAACGTTGATGTGAGTCTCGCCCTTTAAGTTTCACTGATCCAAGAAATCTTCCGTTAACCTTCATTATTTTGTAGTGATTTGTGTAGAAGTTTGGATTATACAAGTGAATGTGCAATGTGATACACTCAGTGAAATTATGTCATTTTCGAATCTAAAGTTCATTATTTTGTAGTGATTTGTGGAATTTATTTTTTTTTTAAATTTATTTGATGGGAGGTGAGGCGAGGAATTTGAGATAATTAATTATGTTGGGGGTTAATTGGTATCGACTGACAAAAGTTTTTTTTTTTTTTTTGACGAATCCTCTAGAAAATGGCATATTTATAAATAAATGAGGCAATGTCATATTTGTAAATAAATGAAAGTTTAATTCTAACAAAAGTGGGCTGACGGAAGGCAGGGGCATGGATGGAAAATGAATTTCTTATTTTGCACGTGAGGCTTCCTTGTTTTGGTTGTTCTTTCTCGTTTTTGTCTTTTTTCATTAAAGTTTAAGTCTTGTTTATTAAATAAAGTTAGTAAATGGTTTTTGGTTAATAAAAAGTTTGAAAAAGCCTTTTTCATTAAAGCTTCCTATAAAATAACAATAATAATTAGTTATATGCCAATTTTACAAATAGTAAATTCATTTGTATCAAATATGCAATGTCATATATAAATTTTTATTTCATGTGGCATGAACGCAATCACGTTAGTAATGTAGTCGTGTTATGTAAACTTTTAAATACAACAAAGTATTTTCCAAGATTCTTAGTCCCAAACCTTTTGTAAAGTGAGAGATGATGCTGCAAAGCACCAACAACCAATAAGCAGTTAAGGCGAGAAATGTAAGAGTATACTGCCAATTTCCCCCTCAATTTTCACTTAGTTTTCGATTTCCTCTTAAACTTTTTACTTGGAAAATTAAGGATTTAAACTTTTTTTTTGGCTAATTTCTCCCTTACCGTTAGTTTTTCATAAATTCCATCCAAATTGACATAAACTCTTGATGGGGATTTTTACGACCTGCGAAGGGAGGGATATAAACACTTAAAAATACTTGCAAGAGTACAAGCATATCATAGTATAACAGCTCAAGTAAGGACGTTTTCCACAGGGATTGAATGAATAATTTATGATAAAACAAATCTTAATTAATTATTTGAAAACAAAATTAAAAAAACGTTGATTTAATGACCTAAAATATTAAAAACGAATTTAATTAAAAACAATTAAATAAATTGGGAAAGTAAAGAAAACAAAAGAAAATAGTTTGAAAATCTATTAAACTACTAGGATTCCACCATCATCTTAACAATCATACGTAGTTCTTTTAATTACTTATGATTGTCCACCATTAGGATATTTAGAAAAGTAATTTGATGCAATTTTAGCCGAGGGTTGTCCCTGAAATTGATTAAGGCTTCTTGTGGTTAATATGTGTAATTTCTTAGGATGGACGACACATTTTAAGGGTTGTATGGTTTTTCAAAAGGTTTTCACAAAACTTAATGAGTCTTGCATGTTAACATTTGATCTGGACACCACAGATGGGTTGCATGTTAGATATACGTTTTATATTGAAGGTTATGTTTTCCTAATGTATATCGTATTTGGAACCTGCAATATAAAACGTATATCTAACATGCAACTCATCCGTGATGTTCAGATCAAATGTTAACATGCAAAACTCATTAAGTTTTGTGAAAACCTTTTAAAAAACCATACAACCTTTAAGATGTGTCGTCCATCCTAAGAAGTTACACATATTAACCACAAGAAGCCTTAATCAATTTAAGGGACAACCCTCGGCTAAAATTGCATCAAATTACTTTTTTAAATATCCTAATGGTGGACAATCATCAAGACAATTGACGAAATTGTGACCTCCTTCAATTCAAGAGACAAAGAAAGAAAGAAAGAAAGAAAGAATAGAAGAAGACTTATCAATTCAGGTTAGGTGGCTGACCTTCTTCCTTCAACACCTTTATTTTGTTCTCTTCCTCCTACTATAAATCACAACAATTCCCCCAAAATCCAAAATCCTAATCAACCGAATTGATTGTTAGGAAAGCGGGATTAAGATGTTTATTGGAATGAATATGATCGATCCCGGGTTGATGAGACTCGCTTAGGAGCTGATAAGTCGCATATCCCCCGCCGAGTTCGCCAGGATCCAGCAGCATGTCCAATTCCAACTTCTTCTTTTTCCCAATTCAGTTTCTAGGGATTTAATTTTCTTTGTGTTAGGACATTGGAATATTAGGCAGCTACAAGTCTATCCTTTATGGTATTTTGTTTTATCCTTGTAAAGGTTGGTTTCATGCAACAGTAGGGAATATGGTGATGTGTTCCAATCATTGTATAAAAAATAATACTATGTAAAATAAACATCCATTCTCAATTTTTCATTCAAATTCATAGTCATTCAAAAGATAATATCATCTACATTCATCATTCAAAGGTAATATCATCCAAATTCATCATTCAAAAGGTAATACAAACAAATAAAACAATCACTCATCCAAATCCTCTTCATATAAATCAAAATACAAACAAAGATATCAATCATTCATCTAAATCCTCTTCATCTAAATAAAAGGCAACATCATCCTCTTCATTGCCAACTCTAGTTGAACTTGTTGGTTATGTCATCAATTCATCAAAAGAATCTTCCAAATCATACTCCACATTTCTTCGACTTGAGGATGCTTCATTACCCCGTTTTCTTTTGTATGTAATAGGACCTTGAGGTTGAGTAGGCTCACGAGGAGGAGGAAGAGGAGAAGACTCTAGGCTCTTGAATGTATGAGCCACTTTCATAAACCGGGGGTGGCACATTCCTTACGACCTCAACATTATACAATAACTCATCCTCAAGCCATGTAAGATCTTCGGGAAGAACAAGATCTTCTATCTCCGTTATCCATTCATCATAAGAGGCAATTTCTTCCACAACAATAGGATCATACTTCTCCCTCATTTTCTTACTTCTCTGTTGTAAAGCCAAATTGTACTTGACATAGGCTAAAGCATTAAGCCTTTTGTGTTCAAGCCTATTCCTTCTTTTTGTATGAATCTACAAATAAATCAATTCTATTATTCAAGTCTAATCATCTTAAGCAAAAATGACACTTAAGATACTAATAATATATTTACTTACCATTGAAAATGTGCTCTAATTCCTTTCACATCTTGACGCATTACAAGTAAGGCTTAGAACTCGAATAGCAAACTTCATTAACTCGGGTGTTTTATGCCCAAAACGCTCCCACCAAGCCGCTAAAAAAAATATTAGTAAGGTAAGCAATTTAAGGGTTAATGATAAAAAGATATTAACAATTGACTAATTAAATCTTACTTAGTGTTCACTTTTTCCTAGTTTGCATAGCTATAGAATCCGCAAATGGACCACGCCTATCATTATATTAAACCAATTGAACATCTGCCTCTTCACGTTCTTTCCCTTTCCCAAGCATCCCATCCATGCAAGCAAACAACCCATTTCACACTTCATCAGTATTTGAGAAATTATCATCGAATTGAAATTGTGGGTTTAAGTAATAACCCGCCGCATATAGTGGTTGATGAAGTTGATCATTCCATCTACAATCTATCTTTCTCCAAATAGACATATTTTTTCTCCACTTTGTTAAGATTGCTTGCAATTTTCTCTTTTGCGGCATCCATCAACTCATATATAAAACCCATGGGGGGTCTCTCATCCGAATCAACCTCTCTCAAAACACAAACAAGAGGAAGAACACCCTTAATGCAAAAGGAAACTCGAACCCAAAACTTACGATCATGTAACACATGATGCTTAGCCAACTTTGCTTCATGGGATCTTGCATAGATAATTTCTAACCATTCTTTAGAGGTAAACAAAGCAACAAGATTTTCTTTTTGCTTTTGTAAGCTTTGTAGTGTAAGGAAATAAGTGGCTAACTTAGTGATCGCCGGACGAAGAATTTCCGAATTGTTGGTATACTTTCTCATCAAAGCTAGTATCCATTGATGCTCATATAGATACTTTGAAATACACCTACCATGTTTGAGCGTGTCATCAAACCATGGTATCTTAGAAATATCTTCTAGCATCAAATCAATGCAATGAGCCGTACATGCAGTCCACCACACATTCTCTTTCCTCTCCATAAGTTTTGCCCCGACATTCTTGTAGTTCGAAGCATTGTCGGATATAACTTGAACCACATTCTCCTTCCCAATTTGTTGAATAACATCATCCAAATAGTCATACAACAAATCTTCATTCTTAATAGAGGCTGATGTATCAACCGATTTTAAGAACCAAGTACCTTGCGGGCTATTGACAAGAAAGTTGATTAAACACCTACTTTTGCCATCTGACCATCAATCTGACATAATAGTGCATCCATATCTCTTACAAGCCTTTTGATGTTCTTTCATCATACTTTGTACATCCTCAACTTTTTCTTTGAGCATCCAAGTTCTATATTCATGGCTTGTAGGAGCATCAAAGTCGGGACCAAAATTGGATACCAATTTCATTGCATGAACATAATATTCATTGTTTGCTGCATTGAATGGAATGACAATAATTTGGAACCATCGTGCAAGTGCTCGGGATGCTTGTCTTCTTTCCTCTTTTTTGAAAGGTGTATTCAATGTGGTTTGATGAGCTTCCGATGTAACATACTTATCAAGTGGTCCCCTTGACCTAGTTGGTAGAAAAGAACTGATTTCTTGTGAATGTGTGGTACTTACACTCCCACTCCTACTACTTACATATGGTGTCCTTGTTGTGCCCATATCGACACTTTCACTTTCTTCTCCACCACCATGACACAACTCATGGCTAGCTTTCCTCTTTTCTTTAGTTCCCATAACATTAGCAAAGCATTCTTCCTTCACATTGGGTAGGACTTTTTTACAACTTATCATTCCTCCTGAACTTACTCCACCCAAGTGATGTTTGAATATAGAAATTGAACCCGTGCATTTGTGGTTACAAAAAACACAATAGAAATGCATGGTGACAGGATCCAAATCTTTTGTCCATTGCCAAGCAAAATCTTTCTTAGAAGAAGAAGCCATATTCTTCAATGCCTAAACAATAAACATTCGAAGCATACAGTTAATGAACCAACAATCTATTAATTTATGCAACAATTACTATGATGAACAATGACCATACTCAATTACTTTTTTGAATGAGATAAAGCAATCCAATAAAAAGCTTAATAGAACATTTCGAGAAGATGGACATCCAACAAAAATTGTTTGGAAAATGACTATTGAATAAGAATCAGATAATGTTCATGAACACTTACTAATTTTGGCATATATGCAGATCAAAAAGAGAAAATGTCTTATAACATCTTATCTTTCCATAGCATGTGGCTATTATTTAACTCCTAATTTAATTACTTGGACTTATTTGTACATTAGGCAGGTAAAAAACTTCTACTCATTACCAATACCAACTTAGATTATCATTAAAAATTCACATGAGGCATACGGCATACCAGAGATGCACCACAAAATCATGAAGAAACAATTCCAACATGAGACTAATTTTTTAATTATTTTTATGTACACAATACACAACACATACGGTCCAATCCCTTTAAGCCTTTAGCCACAATCCCAAATCCTTCTCCCATCCCCTTAAGCCTTTAGCCTCCTCTCCTTAGACCTCCACTCCTCTCTGTTTTTCTACTTTCCAACTCCAAGGCTTTCACACCAGTTAAAAAAAAAAAGATCAAATCCCTAACTTTTTCAGAAATTCAGAAACCCTAACCTTTAAAATAGGGGATTTGATTGTGGGCTTGCTGACGACGTTGTGGTGATGGCGTGGCGACTGGAAGAGGACGATCGACTGGGGTGATGCGGCTGTGTGTTTCTGGAGCGAGAGAAGAGGGTAAAGAAGGCAGAACGATAGGGTAGTGGTCGAATATGTATTTTGAAACTAAAAACCCTTACCTAAACGATGTCGTTTTGGGTTTGGGTGGTTTTTAAAAAAGGGCAGACAAGGTACCTGAGACGCCTTGAGGCGCGCTGCCACCACCTAGGCGTTTCCGGCGAAGCATTTCGCCCACTCCAGCAAAACAGAGGCGTTAGCCTCACCGCCCAGCCTCAAAGGCACCCTAGGCTCGCCCCGAGGCTAGTTTTTTAAAACATTGGTTCTAATCGTGAGCACTTCCCCCTCTAGGGTTGTAAATAAGCTTCCTTTCACCATTTGGGAAAGGCATGAATGAAAATCAAATGTCTTAATGTATTCTTTTTTCCTCTTTTTCTCACTCTTTGCACTCTTGCACCTATCATCTGGTATCAACGACAGGTTGCTGCCATCCATGGGGAAAAGCAAAGCCTCCGTGGTAGTGGCCAATGTCATGGAGGCCGATCTAGAACTGGAGTACCAACAACACCAAATCCTGGAGCAGCTCAATAGGTTTCACGATTCGGTGTCTTTGTTAGCCACTCGCCAAGAATCTTTCCAATCGAACTTAATGGACATCCAAGCTTCCTTCGCAATATCAGCCTCGTACAGAACCATTTGATGGAGGAACTCCATGCCTCCAGGCAACCGCTGCTAGCATCCACCACTATTCCTCAAATTCCGATCAGCTATCTTCACATCCCCTTGGGTTCGACATCTACCCCGCTGCCCCAACTCTCCCAACCCACCTCTGCTGGTCCGCCTCCGACATGGGGTACCCACTACTCACTCTCCCTTTCTCTCCCTTATACCCTTACCCCAATCACCGGTTACCTATAGATATCCCCTCTCTACTCAACATCTACAACTACCCTTCGTCCTCATCTTCCATCCTCTTCGTTTCACCTTCTCCAACCACCACCCTTCCTCATGGGGGCACCACCTCCCTTCCTTGGCCTGAAACACATGAAGATTGAGCTATTCCAATTCTCTGAGGATGACCCGTACAATTGGCTGGCTCTAGCGGAGGAATATATGGATTATCATGGGGATGATGCCACCGACCGGGTCATAATTGCAGTCCATTTCATAGGCGATGTTGCACTTTGGTTCAAATGGTACAAGTTGCATATCGGGTTAGAGCTTTGGGCCACCTTTACCAAATCACTTCTCCAACGGTTTGGGTCGGGCGACCAACTGGACTTCAACATGTCTTTTTCTCATGTGTTTTAGAAAGGCTCGCTGGAGGCCTACATCAACGATTTCATCTGTTTGTCATGTTGGGCCCAAGGTTGGTCTGATTCCCAACTCTTAAGGGTTTTCCTTGGTAGGTTTAAATTTGACCTCCAGGATGACATTTTAGCCTAGGCCCCTTGCTCTTAGGCCCGTGCCATCAAACTGGCCCGTATCTACAACAACAAGAACCAATGTTGTGGAGGTCCATTCCGCGCTTTCCCCACCCGGTCCTCCTTCACCTCATTGTGGAGGTCCATTCCGCGCTAATCCACCGCCCGACTAGCGCCTAGTATTTTTTAGAACCTTGATCTCAAGTAAGATTTGTTTTCCCTAATTCCAACTGTCGGTTTAATTGAAAAAATGGTTTTTCTTTCAAGTTGGGTTCATTTTGTGGCCCACTATTTTGTTCAAAGAAAAAACAAACTAGACCCAATATTCTTTGTATAAAATTAGAAAAAAAGTCCTAAAATTATACACATATACTCATATTTTATAATATATAGTGTAAATTTATGTAAATCCGCCTAGGCCACCTAGGCGCTAGGCGCTAGTCCACCGCCCGACTAGCGCCTAGTGTTTTTTAGAACCTTAATCTCAAGTAAGATTTGTTTTCCCTAATTCCAGCTAATCATAAAACTTAACCAACTCTTAATAAATATGCGACTTTGTAATTTGTAACATAATTTGATCAAATGTCGTGGGAACTTGTACTAAAAACCAATCCAACAAACTAAATATCCAGCCCATTAAATAAATAAATAAATGCAACCTTAGACAAATGTGGGGTTAATTACACAAACACCCCATAAAGCTTTAATTTCCTTTCCTATAACCCTTGAGTGAAAAAACATGTTTATAAATTTATTAATTTACCCTTATAATTAAAGAAAAGATTTTATTTTTTGTTCAATAAGAAAGTCTTTATAGAAACAAAAAAAAAATATTAAATTAAAAGATTTGAATATTAAAAACCAAAAATTAAAAATCAAAACGGCAGAGTACTAGCTACCTATGTCTTTCTCTGCAAATTTTCATTTTTCACCACAATCTCTTCAAACATTTACAAAAATTAAACTACCATCAATTCTTAATTACCATTGTAATTGCTTCTTCCTCATTAAAGGCACTCTTTTCTTGAGAGGATCAGAAACATAAACAACACACAAAAAGATGAAGGCCTTAGAATATGCAATGCTATTTAGTGCAGCATTTCAATCTTGTGTAATATCAGTGTCATGTACCAATTCATCCTTAGTTGAATATAATTTTCTCCAATGCCTTTCAAACCATTCCCATCCCTTGAGTTCAATCTTTGAGGCCCATCAACATTGATCTCGCAGATGAAAGTGCATGGGTTCAATCCGAGGTTATACTTGGTGAAACTTTTTAGAGAAATACCAAAAAAATAGGACATTTTCTTAACATTGGGACAAAAATATGACACACCGGCCATGCACACCATGCACGAACAGAAATGACTAAAATACCCACATAAATACTAAAAATCATCATCCCATTGCATCACTTTTCTCATTTGGAAGAGAAGGATGTGGAGAGAACTCTGTGAGCTATGGGTTTCGGGTTGAGCTCATATTTCGAAGAGATGAAAGTCCAAAGAGAGGTGAAAAGAGTGAGTTGGGTTTTGGGTTGACCTCATACTCTGATTTCGAACAAAGGGATGCGAGGGAGAGATGAGAGGAGTGAGCTGGGTTTTGCACCATATTTTCTGTTTTGACCTGAAAGTTCCATTTTTTCCTAAAACTGAAGCTTCGGTAGGCATAGTAAGGTAGGGTGTTTAGTTCCAAGTTTCTACATCAATGATTTATGGAATAAATAGGTTGTTTGTAAGATGAATTAATACTTAGAAGTTAAATTAGAGTTTGTGTTTCATGTTGGGGCCTATGGGTTGTGGAATAAACTTTACTTTTTGACGTGCTACAAAACTGGATGGAACAATTTCTTGTTCAATGCTCAATTGCAGAAATTTGTGAATTTTTTTTCCAGTTATAATGCACGTATGTTAGGCCTGGAAGTTTAGCAAGTATGACTATAACTTAATATAAGAAGTGAGATTGTTCACTAGTTATAATGCACGTATGTTAGGCCTGGAAGTTTAGCAAGTATGACCACAACCTAGTTCGCCTCAGCAAAAAACAAAATTAAGAAAAAGCTTAGAGGACGTTAAGGGTCATGCATGTCCATGAAATAACTACAACGAGTATCATGTTTTCCATGTGCACGGTTAACCGGTGGTTGATATACATAACAAGACTTTTCAAACTGCCACTGTAACCTTATATACGTAACAATTATGTTTTAATTGTATCCATTATACCAATAAATTGCTTTAATGTTTCTTATTAATGCGAAAAGCAGCTCATTGTTCGATCTCCAGTTTTGTGTAGATCATGTGCATATGTATTGTACATATAATGTGCATGTGATGTGCATATAATGTATATGGTGGTGATTTCACAACTGATGACGTCATTTTCTAATTTCAAAGAGAGAGCTATGAGCTCTGGGTTTTTGGGTTGGCTTAGATCTATGAGCATATCATGTGTGTGTCATATGCATGTCTTGTGCATGTAGGGATATGCAAACATGTATGGGTAACCGTGGTTACTCGCTCATTTAAAACTCATGGTTACGGTTATGGATAACCCTTTAAAAAAATAAACGGTTATGAGTATATCCGTTTACCCCGTGAAATTTAAATTTGTGGTTATGGGTACTACCCATGATTATAAACGGGTACCTGTTTAACCATTTATTTTAATATATTTGCTAACATCTTTGAACTCATTCGATATTATACTAACACTAGAATGGAAATAATACCAAATTACAAATGAAAGCTTGGGGGAATATATTAAAAATGCAATGATGAACCTGAGCAGATCATAGAACATAAAGACATGGTGATATTTGAGATTGCTGCAAATTATGAAGCATTTTTGCCCTTGTGTTGATATTTCTCCTTAATTCTTAGCAAATTTATTAAAAATATCATTCATTGATCTAGTAAACAAATCAATTCTTAGCAAATTTATTATATTACGTTCATTGGTAACAGCTAAAAAAAATCGTTTGTAAACTATAATTTCAATTATTAGAATGGTATGAGGACTCAAAATATTGAAATACGGAAATGCATGTTAAATGTACCTATAAATGGGTAAAAAATGTGTAGACGGGTAAAAAACGAGTAAATGAGTAAAAAAGGATAAATGGGTATGCGGTTACGGTTAAATGGGTACGTGGTTATGGGTATGGTTAACCGTTTATAAATGGTTATGGGTATAGCCATGGCCATGGCTAAGATAAAGTCATGGTTAATCAATACTCTATTAACCACAATAAATTTAATTTGATCGCTTTATTACTGCATCTAACCTTCTTGTTAGACTGCCTACGTACCCTCAAATGGGATCAAGCCATTCGTAATTCGTCGTCAAATTTAAACCATTTAATAAAAATATTCAAGTGGCTGATAAAAATGAAACTACATCCCCACGATTGAATCACATCAAACAAAAACCAAACATTAACTCAAAATATTGATATTAGCTTAAAAAGACAAAATCGGCCATCTGGCCATGACACACCCCGACTGAAGTCGAGACGTGTTGGCCATCACGTGAGCGTGACGTAGCCTTGTGTGCAAAGCGGAAGCGATAAAGAGTAAGGGAATACAAACAATTTAAAACCAAGCAACTAGCAATCCCAGTTAAGAAAGGATGCTAGTGACAGTCAAAGTGTATAAATCAGAGCAATAAGAAAGTCTAGTTGCAGTCAAGTAGGACAATTACTAAGATACAACACCCAAAGGTGAATCCTACTTTTTCGGATTCTGTTAGAATTGACGTTGGATTCCTCGTGGCCACCAAACTTAGCTACCTAAAACTTGGAGGGGCGAAAAACAAAGTTGAGTGGGTCAGTAAAACACATTTACACGAAAACCTTATTTTCCTTTGAATATACTAACCCCTCGCCGTAAAACAAGTATATAGATACTTTCCCAGAAAATAGAATACAATAATATGTATATAACTCAAATCATGCTCAATAAATCAAGATTCATATTTGTATATATATATGCCATGCGTATGCCATGCCCAATAACATAAAAATACCAAAAGTAAGCCAGGTGATGCAATTCACAGTAACTGATTGCTAGC